AATTAAGTAAGCTAACCCTATCTGAGGCTTTGACATTAAACAAAACAAAACAAAAAAAGAGGCTCAGACATTAATCCAAGGCCACACAACTACTCTGTGACAAAGCGGTTTCTACTCATCTCACATCTCATTCACGTCAGCCATTGTTTCTGCTGCTCTTTTTTTTTTTTTTCCATACTGGGATTTTGAACTCAGGGCCTACACTTTGAACCACTCCACTAGCTCTTTTTTGTGAAGGGTTTTTCGAGATAGGGTCTCAGGAACTATTTTTCCAGGCTGGCTTCAAATTGTGATCCTCCTGATATCTGCCTCCTGGGTAGCTAGGATTACAGGCGTGAGCCACTGGCATCCAGCTTGGTTCTGCTGCATCTTGATTCTACCACAAATGGACTAACACCACTCATGCCCACCAGCTGTCCTACCCTGCCCTTGCTCCTCTATGTGGAAAAAAACAGCTCTGCCCTGCTTGTGTGTTTGACTCCTGACTTGTTCAGGCTGAGCCAGCTGTGTTAAATGGTCACTCCCAAACATCACTCTGGGGGAGAAGAGATTCTTATTTAAGGGAGGACTCAGGTGAGCTTCAGGAGAGGACAACACTGCAAATCGCACAGCTGCTTGGCTGTGGCTGTGAGCAGTAGCAAAGGGGTGGGATGGTGGGGGCAGAGGCCCCCTGAGAACCAAGGTCCCCATGGAGCCAAGGACCACATAAAAAGTACTAGTCATCCTGCTTAGGCTCCATCAGCACCTTAGTTTTCTAATCATTCAATCTGCCAAAGTTTTGGGGCACCCAACTTGGACAGGCTCTACAAAATGGTGGAGCGCCTGCTTAGCAAGTGTAAGGCCCTGAGTTCAAACCCCAGTATTGCAAAAAAAAAAAAAGTGGCTGACCACTGTCCGTATAGTTTAGTCAGTGGTCAAGTGCTTGCCTTGCGTACAGGAGGGCCTGATTTTTATCCCCAGCACTGCAAACAAAACAAAACAAACAACAGTGGCTGGGCTTTCCAGACCTGCATTTAGTCCTAGAAGGGTTGAAAGGGAAGGTCAGAACAAAACCACCTTAATAATCTGCAGGGCCCACTGAAAAATGAGAATTTTTGTCCTCAGTTCAAAAATTATTCAGAATTTCAAGATGGTAATGGAGCATTAAACCAAGCAATGGCCATATTAAGCTTGGATCCCAGTGTAACTGCACAGGTCAGATACCTCCAAAGCTGGCCCTGAGTAAGGCAAAGGTGGACATGTCTCACTGTGCAGGGACAGCCCTAAAGGGCAACCTCAAGACAGAACTCAAGAGCTTGGCTAGACAGACAGATGAGTGAGCCAGGCAGAACAAAACACAGAAACAGTTTTGACTGTCAGCAAGATGCCAGGAAAGAGGAAGAGGCACAGCAAAATGAGCAAGAGCAAGCATCCAGGGGTTGCAGCCAAAGGAGAGGTCAGGATGAGTTTCAGAGTTAATACATGGGGAAGCTATAGGAGCTAGGCAGGGAAGGCCTTGGCCACATGGCACACAGGGCTGGCACGCAGCCTACCCCTGCCTTTCCCAAAAGAGAAAGGCATTCACTCTAAGATGAAGAACGCTGCCAGAAGCAGTTAGTTATTCAGGTCCTGGGCTCTCATAAGTAAATGGTCCAAGGAATAGATTTCATAAGAGACAGGAGGTGGGAAATCTGAATGTTTCTGGCGAAGTGAGGCCCCCAGGAAGCCACTTATAATCTGGCCTTTCATCTCTCTACCTCTGTGCTTTGAAATTTCTTTTCATTTTCCTTTAATGTCTCGGTAAAGTTCCTTTAGAATATTCTGACCCAGCTCCTCTATGCAGAATGGAAAGGGACCAGGAAAGGACAGGGAAGTTGGGCAAACGGAATTCCCTGGGAGAGGGTGGATGGCAGCTGCTAGTCTGCTTAGACATCTGGCTGGAGCTTTCACATAGCTATCACACTAGAGTGATGGGGGTGACACTTGCTGACTTATTTCCATGCAAGGGTAGCCCCTTACTTCATCTCAGCCACATGGTGTCTTGCCTTGTACCTTGCTGAAATGCATACAGGCTGTGTGGAGTCCAGGCTGATGAGCAGTGACCTTTTCAAGGAGCCCATGGCAAGGGCTTCCGATACAACATGGTGAGGAAACCTGGCTCTTTTATGCAGCTCTCCTGGCTCCCTGAGTACCCAACCCCTCTCCAGAAAGAACTGCAAACATCTTAGTACTGGACATAGGAGGAAACTGAGGCACAGACAGGGGCAGGAACAGCTCTAATCACATAGCTGCTCAGTACTAGAGCTGGCCCCCAGATCCCCTAGTGCCCTGTGTCACCAAGAGGGAGGCCACAGGAAGAAGCAGGGCCTCTGCCTTGGACCCAGGTAACTGAGGAGGGATGCAGTGGGGTGGGGCTGCTCACTCCCTGAATGGAAAGTGAAGGGCAGTTTCTCCCTTCAGAGGTTCCAGACAATCGAATTGTGGCCAGACAGCCATATACTAAATATGGATTACAGACTGGCTTCTGTTAACCTTTCCATTTCTAAGTCTTTGGGGTGAGGTGTTCTCTAGTCCTCCTTCCTTCCAGAACATTAGAACGCGGTTTCAGCTGCTTTGGTCTTAGAAATCAGGGAATAGGAGTAAATGGCAATGGTAGCTGGTCAGCACCAAGCTGAAGTGGTGACAATACACAAGCACTTCTCTCTTGCATGCTCTACCAGAGTCAATGTCTGTGGGTCACAGGCCAGAAGGAAAGTAGGCAGAGGGAAATCAGGCAGCTGACCACAGGAGAGTGAAGCTGCAGGTCACAGGAAAGCAAGACCACAGCAAAAGCAAGCACCGAGCCCAAAAAAAAAAAGAAATCGGCTTCAGAACAGATCAACGTCACCCGTGATTCCGAAGGAAAGGAGCTGAGCCTCCCAGGAAAACCAGGCTGCGGGTCACTCGGGCCGCGCCCCCCACCCTCCCTCCGCGGCGGGGCCCAGCCTCACTTGAGCTGCTGGGTGATGAGCTCCTCGTCGTTGAGGTAGCGCAGCCGCTCCTCTTCCACCAGGGTGCGCTGCCTCTGCAGTGGGTCCTCCTGCCGCCGCGCCGCCTCCGACACGCGCATGCTCAGTTCCGCCTCAGTGCGCTTCAGCAGCGCGCGCACCGACTCCTGGTTCTGGAGCTGCAGGACGCAAGGATGGACGCGTGGACTCGGGAGGGAGGGAAAGAAGGCGCGCAGAAGGGAAAGGACAGGCGGGGCGGGCAGAGGGCAGCTCTGTGCGCCCGGGCCTCCTCAGAGGACACGGCCGCGAGCCACTGCGAAGGTGTGGCACGGTGGGGATTGGGGCCGAGGGCTAAGTTCTGGGAAAAACAGACAGGAGATCTGGATTTGGTAGGGCTTGCTATATTGGGCCTCATAGAAGGTGCCGCTGCATGGTTGTGGCCGTGAGCAGCAGCAAAAGGAGTGGGGAGGGGCCAAATGAAAGGTTTAAGTTCTGAAGAAGTATAAAGGCCAGAGAAGAACGGAATGGGAACACGTGGGGCCAGGGGTCCCCTACGTAGGGCCCTGTCGACACTGTGACCGCGTGGCTATGGCTTCGGGCAGAACTGAATGGGGACGGGCCTGGCACGAAGGACCCAACTCGGATTCTGGGGTTGATAGTTTCTCAGGTTGAGAAGGAAAGACTAAGGACGGGATTCAGAACCCTGAATGCGGGGGTGGGGCAAGATCTCGCCAGTGGCCCAGATGGCAACTGTGTCCCCTCTGTCCCAGCCTGTCTCTGCTCATTATCCTCACCTGATGGGCCCTGGGCCCCTTTCGAGGAGCAGGCACAGCGATGCCAGGCTCCTGACAGGCGGGACCATCTGCCAGTCGGGGCAGACTGTTCAGGCTCAGGAAGGGGAAGCTGAGGGGACTTGGGGAAAAAGGGATGCGGGGCCAGAGAAACTGGAACTGTCCTAAGGAATACCGACAGGGGAGGGGGGACGGTGGGGACTCAGGAAAGAAGAAGGAGGGCTCAGAAAGGGCGACGGGAGCAAGGGATGGGGCTTGGTGAGGAGGGGCGGAGGTTTAACCCAGGAGCTGGAGATCGAGGAAGGTGAAGGAGAAGAGGGCGTGAGAGACCAGTACGCAGTGAGGGGCTTCGCGGGGGGGTGGGGGTGGGGGCGGCAAGGGAGAAAGGTGAGGCGATAGAGGAAAGGACGGAACTTGTGGGAAGGACTGAAAGGCGGGCGCGGAGGGGGCAGTACCTGGAGCTTGCGCAACTGCTGAAGCTGGCCGCGCAGGTCGCTGGCGCTGTTCTGCAGGCCACGCAGGTGCAGCTGCATCTGCAGACGGCTGACTGCGGTGGGCTGACCCGCAGGGGTGCTACTGGCCGAGGGTGGGGGAGGGCCAGATACCGGGGTGGCCCCGCTGCTTCTGCTGCCTGACCCACACGCTACAGAGAGGGGCCAGGAGGATGGGAGAAAGGGAGCAAAGAGTGAGCCTGAGAAGGGCTGGGGCAAGATCTTCCTCACTCCCGACCCCAAACAACAGGCAGGGAGGCATGTGGCTGGGAATCCCTCCCCCTAACTGTGGGGAGCAAAGAGCCAGGACGAAGCAAAGAGCTTGGACGAAGGTGACTATTGATTTCTCCATTGAAAGCCCAGTGAAGCGGTATTGTTTGAGCCCCACTTTACAGATAAGGACACTGAGGATCGGAGAGGACAAGGACCCGAGGGGAAGAGGGGGACAGAGTCACTCACGTGCTGAGGGGGTGGCTGCTCCATTGGAGCCTTCAATCTTCTCACTGTGGCACAGGGAAAAGAAGATGCCCATCAGGGAGTCCAGGCCAGCCCCAGACCTTTGAAGCTGAGTGGACGTTAGATGTCATCTTCTCCAGCCCCTCCATCTCAGTTAGCATGGAATCCCAGAGAAGGGAAGGGACTCACACAGGGTCACACAGTGAGACACAGAACCAAGTCCAAGGGTTCTTAATGCCCGAGGCCCTTCATCCTGCCCAAAGCACAGACCCCGGCCATCGTGTTGAGAAAGAGGCCTCACCTTGGCGGCTCAGGCTCTGAGCCTCGAAGTAGGGCACTCTGCACCAGGCCTGTGAGGCTGGCAATCTGCTTCTCCATGGCCTCCATGCGCTCTCTGGGGAGGGAGATAGCTCTGAGCAATCTCTTCTCTGATTATGGGGTCCCACCTGGACTGCCAGCACACAGAGACCCAATGCCTAAGGATCAAGCCCACTCCACCTCTCACCACTGCCTCTGGAGGGGCCCCACCTTGACCTCTCCATACTTTGCTTATGTTCCCCCATGTCTTCCTTCCCACCTCCTTTCAGAAGCCATCCCAAAGTCCCAGGAGCCTTAAGGAGCATCTCACCCCATCTAAGGGAAGTGCAAGGATTTTTTTTTTTCTTAGTGTCTCACCCCACTAGATCAAAGGAGGAAACTGGGTTTGCCCAATTTTGTACTGGGTAGGGGCCTAGCACACAGGCCACAGACAACTGTGTGAAGATGAATAGCTTCTCATCTCTCAGCAGCACTGCCCTGGGTATAAAGTGTCTCCCACCCTGACTGTCCTCTTTCCCTGCACTCTTAGGAAAGCACTGACTGATGGCCCAGCCTGGAAGGTGTGCAACCAAATATACTTCTCTCCATCCCCGTTTCTTACCAGCCCCCACCCCCACCCCCACAGACTTCAGCTGGCCCCGTGCTGGACAGCTCTCACAAGTTGTGTCCCAGCAAGGAAGGCACCTAGGAAGGGTTGGGTCAGCTCTTTGATTTTACAGCTGTGGAAACTGACGCCCGCGGGGCGGGGGGTGGGGGGAGAATGCAACTCAGGTCTCCAGAGTACTCATCTGGGGCCTTCTTATCTGCGCCCTCTCTCCAGTGCCCTCCCTGCCACATCTGAGATGTGGGAGGAAACCAGGGCGCCTCCCCTTCAGATCACTTAGTCTCTGAGTGCAAAGAACTCTGCGGTGCCTCCTCTCCCGTCTACAGACACCGCCCTGAGGCCTCTCGAGTGCCCTTCACCTGGTCTCTGTGTCCTTGGCTGGCACCGGCGGCCCGAACCCCACGAGGGAGCGCTCCCCGGGCCCGGGGAAGAGCTCAGGAGGAGGGGCTCCGGCCGTCGAGGTGCTCCCAGTGCTGCGGGTCTTGCCTCCGGGACTCTCGGCGAAGACTGACGAGGAGCCAGAGTCCTTGCGGAAGGATTGGCGCACGGGAGAGCCGCGGCTGGGTGGCCCGGAGTAGGGGCTGTGCGGCGGCGGTGGTCCTCCGGGGGGCGCCGCCACGTCGGCCAGCTTCTGCGGCGACGAAGGGGGCAGGCGGAAGCCGTAGCCGTCGCCGTAGAGCGGGCCACCGCCGCCCGCCGCCTTGTACAGCGAGTCCTCCAGGTCCGACTGCAGCGCGGCGGCCGAGTAGGTGCTGAGCGAGCGCACCGAGCCGCGCTTGTACAGCCCGCCCGCGCCTGGGTAGGCGAACGGGTCGCCAGCGGCCGCCGCCAGACTCAGGCGACCCTCGTGCAGCAGCCCGTAAGGGTCGGCGTAGAGGCCCTCGCCCTTCACCAGCACCATGCCGCCCGCCTTGCCCGCCAGGTCCTCGTCGGGCTTCACGTCGCGCCGCTCCAGAATGGCGCTGGGGCTGGGGCTGACGCCCTGGGCAGCCGGGGCGCCTCCCAGCCGCTCGGCCGCATGGTGCACCGGGCTGCCTGCGTACGACGGCGGGCGCCCGCCGGCGTAGGAGAGGCGTGAGCGCGACGGCGAGCCCGACGGCAGCCCCGACGGCAGCCCCGGCGGCGGTGAGCCGGACGCCAGATGCGAGGCTGGCGACAGGTTGTTGAGGCGCCGCGTAGGCGACGACTCCCGCGACGCGTACACCATCTCTCTCTGCGCGGAAGACAACCCCGGAACACCACGGGGCTAGTCACAAAGTGGTCCCCTTCTCCCCTTGCCTGAGGAGCGAGCATCTACCCGCTAACACTTAAGGAGGTCTTTCTGTTCTCTGCCTTCCCTCTTTCCTAATGCTCCTGGTACCCCTTTTCTATCAGGGCTCCCAGTATGGGTGTGTGGGGGGAGGGCGGGAGTGACTAGCAGAGAAGCATCAAAAGGGCAAGCCCAAGCCATGGTGGGTGGGGGAGGGGAAGGGTTGGCTCCGGAAAGAGTCTTCAAATATCTAGAGGCCTACTAGAGAAATCCTGGTTGGACAAGCCTGGACAGAGGGGAAAGTAGCCAGTAGGGAAGAGGCTTTTTCTGTAAAGCCATATCTAAGAAAGGCTACCTTTACCTCAACTGCCCCGTCCCCCACCCCCCCCGGCCCCGCGCCCTGTTCCCATCACCAGGTCCTGGTTCCTGATGACAGGTGCAACTGCCAAACACTCTTTGCCTGTGTCGGCCCCACCTGCCCAGTGTCCTCAGTGCCCCGGGCAAACCCAGCCATACCCGGAGGTCTCCGTTGGTGAGGTGTGAGCCAGGGAAAGCTGCGTACAGAGGCTCCTTCCTGTATATCTTGATAATACTGCGGTCCTGGATATCCCTGGAGGAGAGAGAGATGCAGGGGGATCACCATGCAGCCCCTAGCCTTGCACAATGAGGAGAGGGTAGCTACTCCAGGCAGAGAGAAAAGGGAGGCAAGAGGGACCAGGATACCCAATCCCTTCTAAGTACTTCGCTCAGTGACTTTTGGTGCCTGGGGCTGCTCGCCACCAGCACACACGACAACCTTCACCCCATCCACTTCCTCAGCTTCAGGCGCCAATTTCAAGTTAATTTAGGCCAGAGTGAACCAGCAGGGGTGGAGAATTAAGCGGGAGGGGGCGGGGCGCCAGGGCTCTGAGAGGAAAGGGAGGGTCAGGAAGTATCTGAGGCAGGGCCTCCAGAGTCCAGGACTCTTGAGAAAAAGTAGAGGCAAGCCCACCCATCCCCCTAGGGCCACGCCCACCTGACGTCCTCCAGCTCGTAGAAGACGTTGCGCGCCTCGTCTTTGATGAGGATGGCGGTGTTGGGCGACTTAAGCATGCCCATGGTGAGCTTCTGCGGGAACATGTGCGCGATGAGTGCGTGCAGCGTGTCCAGGCTGCTGACCTCGTGCGTGATGTGCACGCGCCTGGTCTCCTCCCCGAACTGCAGGAACAGCACCCCTGCGAAGGAGACGCCGTCCCCACTGTCACTGCCACCAACACCACGCCTCCCGCTGGGAGAGCGAGAGGGGTCCTTCGGAGCAGCACTGGTGCCACAGAGGCAGGGTCTGAGGCTGGATGCCGCCCCAGAGTGCAGGTGCACCCAGGCGCTACTCATGCTGCCAGCTGGGGCGCCAGGCGGTGGGCAGCCCCCCAAAGCACCCGCTCGACTCAAAGCAGGTGGGGGCCTGGAGGGGAAAATGAGATTGGGGGCAGGAGTGGGGCAGACCTGAGAGGCAGTTGGTAAAGAAAGAGGCTGGAGAGAAAGAAGAGAGGGATGTAGGAAGTGGGGACTGTCCTAGGAGGGAGAAGACAGAGAGAAAAGTGAAAGTGAAGAAGACTGGAGGAGACCAGCAGCTGGGTGAGAGGAAGGGGTAGGGCAGGGCTTAAGGAAGAGACAAGAGGGGGAGAAGAGCTGAGGACAGAGAAGCCCTGAGGGGAAGGAGTGGCTGGGGGAGGTGGATAGGAGCTGGAGGAGAGATGGAGCAGTGCAAGGCATAAGGAAGGGGTGGGGAGAAGAGCAGATGGAGGAGACTATGGCTGAGAGGGAAGATGGACAGGATGGGCAGTACCTGGTGAGCGCAGCTTGGTCTGGCTGGCAGAGCGGGAGAGGGGCAGGCTCTGTCGGAAGCGGTTCATCCTGCTGAAGCCCAGGGGCAGCTCTGCCTCAGACATGGTCTCCAGCGACTCAGCTGAGGCGTAGGACAGCTTGGCTGCCTGATCTGCCAGCCCTGGCTGGGCTCCCTGAGTGTGACGAGAGCTGCGGGTCTGTGGGAGCAGGGCATGGCAAGAAGCACCAAGCATGAGCCTCCCCCTTTGCTCTGCCACTGCCTCCATCCAGGCCCAGGGAGCTCCCACCAGCCAGTGACACACACACACACATTCACAGGAGGGTCTCTTGGCCTCCAGATTCGCTGTGTGGCTGCAAGAAAGTACCCCACTTCTCAGGTCCTTAGCCTCCCTGGGACACCCAGCAGGTAAGCAGTGGGCAAAGGCCTCAGGCACCCTGGGAAGCCAGACAAGAAACCATCTGAGCGGGAGCCATAGGCATGCCTGCTATTTTAAGCTTCCAAAGAACAACAATACAAATTTGACACCGAGGTGAGCAGCAGAATCATTGAGCAAATTGGGGCATTAGTTCCAGACATTAATTAAACAGCGAGTTTGTGAGTGGCGAATTTATTCTTCATGGAGTTCAGAGGGTTGGGGTGGGGATGGGGGGAAGGACCCAGGGAGAAATCAAAAAAAGTCAGGACCTGCAGGATCCCAGTGTTGGGAGGTGTGGGCCCTCACAGAGCTGGGCAGTGAAAATGTCCTTGATTAGCCAGTGTCCTTCATCTAAAGTGACTAGGACAACTATCCCAAACCATGGAGAGCCAGCTGGGTCCTAGTGGCAAGGAGACAACCTTCATAGCATATACAGTGCACACGAATACATAGTATGTGTTCCGGGGTGGGTCCCTCCCTGCGAATCACATGCTGCCACTTGGCCAGTCAACCTGGCTGGCTTCTCTCACTCCCAAGCTCCCAGCATGACAGTCCCTTGCCTGAAGCTATAGCCAAGGGTGGTATCTGTTTAGAGGTAGGGAAGGCTGTCACAGGACAGCTTGATTGCTGTCTCCTGGGAAGGGGTGTATTTCACTATGATCTCAATTGTACATTAAGAGCCTACTTTTTGGCTGAAGCCTGGGGCTGTCACCCAGGCCCTCCCCTAAAACCTGGTTGCTATCCAGAAAATCAATTATTTAAAAGAGTAAGAATGAATCAGACCTACATCATTCTATGTTATGTATATCATATGTATATATTATATATTTTA